CAAGGAGGAGAGAAGGAATTTTCTCTGGCTTTATTGTATAGTTTCTTACTGTTGTTATTGTGTGCCATCGAGTTGCCCCTGACTGACAGTGACCCTATATGACAGACTGTAACTGCCCCTTAGGGTTTCCTACTACAGCCATAGAAATGGAGGTTGAAGGAGCAAACCTTGTAGTAGCTGTGCACTCTTGGACCTAAGACTTAGCAATACAGAGGGAAGGAGGAGTGTGACATTTCCCGGTGTTTCTGGGATACAGGAGGAATTTCTGTTTCCTGAATGAATTATACTTCATAGTGGGAGACTGACAACACTTGTTAGTGAAAGGGCTCTGTAAGCAAGGATGATGCTAAAGATGAAATAATCCAGAATGATCTCTGTTTGGCTTTGAAATACTTGTAGTATGAATATATCCAAGCTGACATTTCACTTCAAACAAAAATAAAAATACAAACGCCACATTTGTGATAACCTCATTTAACTGTTAATCCCAGCAGAGCATTTGCTTAACAAGTTGGATTCACCTGTGACCTATATAAGGCACCAGCCCAGACAGTGATGTTTCGTCAAAGCTTCTTGCAAGCAGGCTGTGCACAGCAGAGTGTACATGCAAGGATAAGCAAACAAATAGTGAAGTAGGACAAGTACTAGTTATAGTGGAAAGGTGGGGTGATGGACCAACATTTGAACTCCTATGTAAGGAGCCCTTGTGATGCACTGGCTAAGGGCTCAACTGCTAACTGAAAGTTAGAGGTTGGAACCCACCAGCCGCTCTGCAGGAAAAAAGACCTGGCAATTTGCTCCTGTAAAGATTACTGCCTTGGAAACCCTATGGGTGTTCTATTCTGTCTTATAGGGCTACTGTGAGTTGGAGCTGACTTGATGGCACACAACAGCAACATTTTAGCTTCTGTTTTCTTTAACCCTCACCACAAGCCTGTGAAAAAACCAAGGAGTGAAGTAATTTATCAGGCATACAGCTAAGAGGTAGTAGGCAGGACTTTAATCTGTGTGTCTGCTGCCAAAAATCTGCATTCCTGTGCTGCTCACAGTCTCGTCCCATATCTCAACAATGAGAAGATATGTAGTCTGTTCTGGTTCTACCTAACTAGGACTCACATTTCTCATCTATAAAAAGAGAGTATAAATTATGTAGTTACCTTGTTTAGTTTTAAAACTCTGCTTCTGGTTGTCAAATTGGAAAGGAGTTGTCGTGGATAAACATAGTGAGGTTCTGTTTTGCTTTGTTTTTTGCTTTTGTGATTCACATTGGTTTCTATGAGATTTAGCAGAAACATATCTGACTAAAAAAATTAATTCATAGAATTAAATATTTAATGGCAATAATTCAGAAAGTTTAAGGTTGTATCAGAAATGTGTAGTTACGCAGATGTGTCTGTATTTTGGTATTTGAGAAGTTAGAACCAATTTGTAGGCTAGGAGGTCAGTGAGATGGTACAGACCTATTTCTATGATAAAATAGATGAGTTGCTGTTTTCAGAATATTGAAGGGGAAAATATATTACTGTATTTAAATATGTAAAGGTATGTATAGTACGTAAATGTATCATATATAGTATGGCATAGATCTCAGACAAAGGGAAATTTTAGTAGGTTGCACTTGGTGAAATGGCCTAGAAGAGGAGTCGGCAAACTTTTTCTGTAAAGGGCCAGATAGTAAATATTTTAGGTATTGTAGTCTCTGTTGCAGCTACTCAACTCTGCTGTTGTAGTGCAAGAGCAGCCGCAGACAACCACAAATGAACGAGCATGGCTGTGGGTTATTAAAACTATTTACAGAAACAGACGACAAGCTGGCTTTGGCCCAGGGGCCATCGTTTTGCTGACCCCTGGCCTGGAATATAGCTAATTTTCTTTGACAACCACAAACAGCCTAAATTATTGCAATTTAAAGTAATTCTCATTCATTCTACTTTTTAAATAAAAGGTAGTTGGTAGATTGCTCAACCTTCTATTTTTCTTGTCTTGTAATGAGCAGTAAACATCTCAAAAGATTTCATTCAGAAAGAGAAACAGCACTTAGATTAACCACAGACCTAATCATTATTGAATAATTGTGTGAAGTGTACTTTTTTGGAGACATGCTTTTAATGCTTGTAGAGAAACTACTAATGAACATTGTTATAAATTTATGTTTTAATATTTGTGACAGATGCCACAGTTTGGCATATGGGAGAACATGTAGTTTGAATGGGTAACCTTACGTGTTGTAAGCATGGAATGTGCTTGTGTTAATGACTAAATCTTAAATTGGGAATTTTTCCAGGTGTGACTTGAAGTGACTGTTTTGATATTCATGAAAATCACAATAATCTCTTACTTAGTATCAGTGCAGTTGTCTTAACAGCATAAAGGAATAATCAAGTGAGAGCAAGGACAGTGTCTCTACATTTATTTCATCCTATAATGATTTGATAGAGTCAAATTGGAAGCATATATATCTGCTTCTGTTATGAATGTGCTGAGTTTTCCAGTTCCTCCTCAGTGGTCTGATTTTGTTTTCTTCACGAGAAACTTCTCTTAAAAGGCGTAAAATCACTACAGAATCTTACCTGTCTCTTAATTGTCCTGTGCAGCAAGGATTACATTTTAAAAGAATTATCACAAATTGTCACCATCAGTTAGCTAATATTCATTTAGTGGTTCCGAGTGCAAATATTTGCGTTGAGTGCTCTAAACATATTTAATCTTGGTTTGCTAATGATAGGTATAAGATGACCTTGGAGCACAAGATCCTTAATTGTGGTTTCTTATTGGAAGACAAAGTTGGAAAGGCAGCCATTCCATCACTTTATTAAAGTTTATGTAGTACTGATTTGCCATCATTTGAATATGCTAGAAATGAAAAATGCCAGTGATCATAATTTATTTTAACTGTTAAGTGTAATTAAAATATAAAAATATTGCTGTCTTTGTTTATGACGGATACTAAATTTAAGCTAAGTTATAAGGTGTGCTGTTTGAAAATATGGAAGATACAAGAATGAAGCCAGATAACAAGTGTATGCTTGTATTTCCTACTGATGAAGACTTTCAGACAAGTTGTTCCATGGGTAGGTGATGTCACTCTGCATGTATATATACACTTATACTTTTTGCATGATGATACATGTAGGAGTGGTACAATTTTGACTTGACTGTTGACCTGTTGCCTCAATTTGCTGGTTGGGGAATGTGATGGCAGTGTTGAATCACTGAAATAATTTCTGGCAAACATACAACACTTAAAAAAGTAAAGCCCTTTTTGAAAAAGAACATAAGGTCAAATAGTCAATATTGTACTTGACCCTCATATCTTCCGCACCCAAGTGTTTGGACATCACACAGTATCTTGATTCCACAATAATCATCTTGAACTCTGACGAGAACTCCATGGAATGCTACAGTTTTCTTTTCTTTCTTAGAAAAATCTCAAACATGAACCAGTTTTTTGCTATTTGATATAAAATTCATTACCAGCTGATGCTGAGGCCAGACTGTTGAATTTTTATGGTCATTGATGAACTTGATTTACCCCTTGGGGAAACTGGCAATTATTTTTATGTAGTCAACTGAAATTGTCATGATCGTCAGAATTTCATATTGTGACATGTCTGTTCTTTATACAGTGGCACCTAACAATTCATTTGCTTTAATGTTAAGTCTTTTTTTTTTTTTTTGTTTAAAAATGTTGCTGTTTAAACCTGTAGTTTGGGAGCTTAGCTTAAGAGATAAATACCCAAGTGTGTTTCATGTTTTTGTTCAGTGATAATTTACACAATGAATGTTTGCGTTAAAACAATAATCCTTCATTGTGTTGTATTTTAATGATTCATTGGCATATGTTTTCCTTCATAGTCAAGAGTTTTGTAAACTAGGTGTGTTGTAATATTCATTTGTTGGATGATATTTTAAAAATCTTTATGGAAATAGATGGTTTGCCTGCACTTCATAAATAGCTGTGGGGACAGACAGCATTCCTTTATTTCTGCTTTATTCTAAAATGGGGCTAGGAAGAGGGACGTGTCTTTCTTTCTTGAATGAAAATTTTATTTTTGCGTTTTGCTGTTATATTAGTAAGAAGTTAGTATTAGCATTTTTAAAGCATGTATCTATTCTGCAAGCATGAATATTGTATTATTTTAGCATGAATCACTGCAGTGTAATTACTTTGGAACTCATCTCAGCTGCCTTCTTCAGCTATTAGGTGATTTGGGAGTGGAAGGGATCTCTCATTTTTCCAGTAAAAACCTTAATATCTTCCTATAAAATCACCCATAAGATTACACATCATTTCCTTGGAGTGTGAGCTAGTTGTCTTTCTCAGAAAAAAGAAAATATAAATATCCCCCACAAGACATTCAAGGCAAAATCCTGAAAGTGGATTTTGCGGGTATTGTCTTTTTGTAGAATGTTATAAGCAGTATAGCATCCCTGTTATTATAAAAAGGCTTTACTGGAAATAGATAAGCAAGTCAAGTAGAGCTCTAGTGTTAACCTTTCTTTAGCAAGTGTGAAAATATATTTATAATTTTCCTCTCTGAATCTACTAAGGACTTTTAGTATTACCTACTAAGAGAAAGAACGAGATTCATTCTCTTAAAAACATATAAATTGGGTTTTAGTAGTTTGCATCAGTTTTTTTTCTTTAAGAAAAAGTCGATTTCCACTCTCTGTCAAGTGTTCCCCTTTTTCCGAATCTTTGCTCTTTAGGAGTGTGACCAGAATTCATTGTAACATTGTTCCGTATAGTCTTGTTTTATGTTCTTCATAATAACACTACTTTTCCTCCTTCCAAAATTTGTCCCTCATCTTTGTACTCTGGGATTATCTTTTCACTTTCACATCATGTACAAAATTTTAGATGTATAAAGTACAACGTTTCTGATCAGATAGAATAATAAGGTAAAGACAACTGACTTTTAGAGGGCTCTTATTTAGTTTCAGAAGTATTTTTTCACCCCACAAGTTAGATACAAGTATACATTTTCTTTCCTCCCTAGATGGACCTCCAGTTGTAGCTCATTATGATATATCTGACACCAGCTCTGACCCAGAAGTGGTAAATGTGGACAATTTATTGGCGGCTGCAGTAGTTCAAGAGCACAGTAATTCTGTAGGAGGCCAGGACACAGGAGCTACCTGGAGGACCAGCGGGCTTCTAGAGGAGCTGAATGCGGAGGCAGGTTGGTCTCCCTCCCCTCTTCCCGTCTTCTCTAATGGTGGAATGTGCATGTGTCCTGGTAGCTGGGTAGTGGGCCCTGCTGAGGAGAACAGGCCATACCAGAGACATCTGGCATTAAATGATTGTCACTATCCAAGATGCCATTTATAAATGAGAAGGAGATTTGGGTCTCTTGTCATTAAGAAGCAAAGGATAAGAATACATAAGACATTAATTGTAGGCATAGGTAGATTTCAGTAGACATATTTCTTAGGTTAAAAATGCCCAACATATGCAAAACAATGTGAATGACTACATACTCTCTACTGCTCCTACCTCACCTGTCTTATCTCCATTTCTCAGTGTTTTTCTCACTTAACTCAAAAATGGACCTTACAGCTCTAGTAGGGAGCTACGTAAATTTTCTCTATGGGACTGTTTGAATGCAGTGCTGTGACTGTGCCTTCTGCCTTTTGGTGTGGAATGTCCCTGATACTCCTCTTCAGTAGTCCTTATATTTGTCTTTTCTAACTCCTTTTCTTTCAGTTTCTACCTCTGTTATCTTAGGAAGAAAATCTCTCTTTCTTACATTATTTATCTTGATACTGTGATTTGGTTCTCTTAAGAGTGATATTTACTTGTTAAAATCCCACTGGTATTTACTACCTTTGAAAACTCTTCACAGTGCCTCCAAGTATCCTTTGATATTTTCCCCAAAACTCTTTTCTTTGAACATTCTTTCTAATTTAAACTTTTTTTTTTTTAATACTAGTGCTTAAGAGGGGGAGGGGATTGACAGACTGTTTCTGTGGTGTGTAGTTTCTTTAGTGTTATTGAGGATTGTAGTTTTCCAGTTATGTCATAAATTACATTGACTTTTATGAGCTAATGTAGCTACTTAATCATTATCCAGAATATTGTTTTTGTGGAAAATGAGTTAAAAATAACAATGGGTTATATGTTTAGAACTTTTAATAGTGAAATTGTTAGTAAATAACAAAGGGAGACAACGCCACAGATCACTGTGCCTTAGTAATCCTTCCTTTCATAATCTTGTTTGGAAGTAAACAAAAACCTCTTCTATTGTTGAGCTTCTGATTCATTTATGTAGCTAATTTTGGAACAGGACATGGATTTAGTTTTACTGCTAACTACCTGTTTGATCTTGGCAAATCATTTCTCCTCTGGACTTCAGTTTTTATATGTACAAAATAGTTGTTTTGTCCAGCAACTATACTTTAAGAATTTTTTAATATGTATATCTACTTTGAAAAGAAGTAATAATACCTTATATCAAATGAGAGTAGTTTGACCACATTTTGTGCAGTATGTGTTTCTGATAAGTTATGTAAGTCATTTACTTAATTTAAATTTGTTCTGTATGCCAGATGATTTATCTTTATTTTTCATCCACTGACAATTAAGTGATGCATTCTAGTTCACTTTTATTTCCCTGTTCCATTAGTGTAGCAACCAGATATAGACCACTTTATAGTAAATTCTTGGGAAGAAATTGAACAATTGCCACTGCTTATAGCTCTTCATAGAGAAAATTCTTAATACTAGGTTGAACCATATGGAGTTGTTAATATTTGACTATTTTCTTTGCTTATTATTTTTTTATTAATAGACTCCATATTTTAGAGCAGTTTTAGGTTTACAGAAAAATTGGTCAGAAAGAACAGAGTTCCCATATACCCTCCTGTCTCCACAAATGCACAATTTCCCCTATTATTAACATCTTGTATCAGTGTGTACATTTGTTATAATTGATGAACAAATATGGGTACATTATTATTAACTAAGTTCACAGTTTACATTAGGGTTCACTTTTTATATTGTACAGTTCTGTGGTTTTGACAAATGCTTTAATGTCATGCATCCACCATTACAGTATCAAACAGAATCATTTTGCTGCCCTAAAAATTTCCTGAGTTCTATCCTTCCTTCCCTGCCCCCAAACTCCTGGCAACTACTGATCCTTTTTACTGTCTCTCTAGTTGCCTTGTTCAGAGTATGTTATAGTTGGAATCATACAGTATGTAGCTTTATCAGACTGGCTTATTTTACTTAGCAATATACATTTAATTTCCTTTATATCTTTTTATGGCTTGATAGTTCATATCTTCTAATCGCTGAATAATATATTGTATGGATATACCACAGTTTGCTTATCCATTCACTTATTGAAGGACATCTTAGTTGCTTCCAAGTTTTGGCAATTATGAATAAAGCTGCTATAAACATTTGTGTGCTGGTTTTGTGTGGAATACATTTTCAACTCATTTGGGTAAATATCAAGGAGCAAGATTGCAGGATTATATGATAGGACTACGTATAGCTTTGTAAGAAACTGCCAAACTGTCTTCCAAACTGGCCATACCATTTTGCATTCCCACCAGCAATTTATGAGAGTTCCTGTTGAGCCATATCCTTTCGAGTGTTTGGTTTTGTCAGCATTTTGGATTTTAGCTGGTCTGCCATGAGTCAGAATCCACTGGTTTTTACTGGTAATGGGTGTGTAGTGGTATCTGATTGTTGTTTTAATGTGCAATTCCTAATGACATGATGTTGGCATCTTTTCATGTGCTTATCTGCCATTGGTATATCTTGTTTGGTGAGGTATCTTTTGCCTTCTTTTTAATTGAGTTGTTGTCTTATCGTTGAGTTTTAAGAGTTCTTTGTATATTTTGGACACAAGTTCTTTAACTCTGTGGCTTTGTCTTTTCATTCTGTTAATAGTCTTTCGCAGAGTAGAAGTTTTTAATTTTAATAAAGTCCCACTTATCAATTTTTTCTTTCATTGACTGTGCTTTTGGTGTTGTATCCAAAAACTTATTGCCAAACTCAAGATCACCTAGATTTTCTTCTGTGTTAACCTTCTAGAAGTTTTATAGTTTTTTTATTTTACATTAGATCTGTGATCCATTTTGAGTTAATTTTTGTGAAAAGTGTAAGATCTGTCTCACCTTTTTTTGCATGTGGACATCCAGTTGTTCCATCACTATTTGTTGAAAAGACTGCCCTTTCTCCATTGAATTGTCTTTGCACCTTTGTCAAAGATCACATTGGCTTTGTTTGTGTAGGTCTATATCTTGGCTGTCTGTTCTGTTATCTATCTATGTTTTCTGTTGCTATCACCACGCTGTCTTGATTACTGTAAGTCTTGAAGTCAGGTACTGTTAGATCTTTTTATTCTTCAGTGTTGTGTTGGCTATTCTAGGTCTTTTGCCTTTCCATATAAACTTTAGTATCATTTTGTTGATATCAAAAAAATAAGCTACTGGGGTTTTGATTGAAATTGCATTGAATCTGTAGATCAAGTTGGTAAGAACTAACATCTCAAGAATCTTGAGTCTTCTTATCCATGAACATAGAAAATCCCTCCATTTATTTAGATCTTTGATTTCTTCCATAGAGTTTTATAGTTTTCCTTACATAGTATTTCATATTTTTGGTGCTAATGTAAGTGGTATTATGTTTTTTTAATTTCAGATTCCAACTATTCATTGTTGGCATATGGGAAAGCAATTGACTTTTGTATATTAACCTGGTATCCTGCAGCCTTACTGTAATCACTTGTAGTTCCAGGATTTTTTTTGTTGATTTTTGGGGGATTTTTTCCATAGACAGTCATGCCATCTGCGAACAAAGACATTTTATTATTTCTTCCTTCCTAATCAGTGTATCTTTTATCTCCTTTTCTTGTTTTATTGCACTAGCTAGGACTTCAGTGTGATGTTGAATAGAAGTGGTGAGAGAGGACATCCTTGCCTTATTTTTAATCTCAGGGAGAAAACACCCAGTTTCTCACTGTTAAGTATGATGTTAGTTGTAGGTTTCTCATAGATGTTCAAGTTGAAGAGTTTCTCCTCTGTTCCTAGAGTTTTTATAATGAGTGGATGTTAGCATTTTGTCCATTTTTTTGTATCTATTGATATGATCATATGATTTTTATTTGCTAGCCTGTGATGTAATGGATTACATTAATTAATTGATTTATGAATGTTAAACCACCCTTGCATACCTGGAATAAATCCCACTTGGTTGTAGTGTATAATTATTTTTATACATTGTTGGATTCAGTTTGCTAATATTTTGTTGAGGATTTTTGCATCTGTGTTTATGAGAGATATTGGTCTGGAATTTTCTTTCCAGGTAGTATCTTTGTCTGGTTTTGGTGTTAGCATAATGCTGACGTTAGAGAATGAGTTTGGATGGGTTTTCTGTAAGAGGTTGTAGAGAATTGATGTTTTTTTCTTTAAATGGTTGGTAGAATTCAACAGTGAAACCATGTAGGCCTGGTGCTGTTTTGGAAGGTTGATAATTGTTGATTCATTTTCTTTAATAGATATAGGCTATTCATATTATCTTATTTCTCCTATGTGAGTTTTGGTAGGAATTGGTTCATTTCATCTGAGTTATCTAATTTGTGAACATAGAGTTAGTTGTTCATAATAGTCCGTTATTGTCTTTTGAATGTCTGTTGAATCAGTTGTGATGACCCCTCTTTCATTTTCTTATATTAGAAATTTGTGTCTTTTCTCCTTTTTTCGTGGTAGGTTGGTTAGTGATTAATCAGTTTTATTGATCTTTTCAAAGAAACAACTTCTGGTTTTGTTGATTTTTCAATGTTAATTTCCTATTTTCAATTTTATTGATTTCTGTTCTAATTTTTATTATTTCTTTTTTTCTACTTGCTTTAGATTTAGTTTGCTCTTCCTTTTGAGTTTACTAAGGTGGAAGCTTAGGTTATTGATTTTAGAGCTTCTTTTCTAATATACACATTCAATCCTCTGGTGTCCTTTTGCATTCAGTGCATATATAGAATTCCCCTCTAAGCAGTCCTTGGCTGCATCCCACACATTTTGATGAGTTGTATTTTCATTTTCCTTAACTTCAAAATTTTAAAAAATTTCTTTTGACATGTCTTCTTTGACTCCTTATTTAGAATTGTGTGGTTTAATCTTCAAATATTTTGGAATTTTCTAGCTATCTTTCTGTTATTAATTTTTAGTTTAA